TTCCTTTAAGCGTTGGCGCATTGTTTCCACAACTTTAGGTGTCAAGAATTTTGCACAACTGTCAACACTAAGGTCAGACTTACAACCTTCATGAGGGCATCTAGGAATCATCCCGTGAAGCAACTTCACCTCCACATGTTGTTTCATACAAGAAAAGCAATACCGATGCAGGCAGCCCCCAACCGAAAACATTTGACTAACATCAGTATCTTCCAAACATATCACACAAGTCTCATTCACATTCTTACAAGTGGTAGATTGTGCAGGTTCGTTGGTCTGAGATTGAGACACTATTGCATCTCTTGCAAGTTTAAATGCAAATTTAATATGATTTCGGGGCACAAGCCTTGGGTTGCAACGTGTAAACTTTCCTTGAAGGCTCTTAACCTGATTGACAAGCGCTGCTATCTTGTGCTGCTTTGCTTGCCATTTACCAGTAACCTTCATACATAAAATATAACGTCAGAAATTCAACAAGCTCTATTCATGGGTGTAAATAGACTGTAGCACAGTGACTAGTTCATCCAATATTCTTGGTTTCAACACAAATACTACAACATTGCACACATAAATGTCATAATAAACTCCATTATTTTAGACCTTGTTCACAAGACTTTCTCTAATGGTCAATTTAAATACAAGATAGCAGACTAATTTGGCAAATGCTGAGTAGACACAAGTAAAATTTCTCAAAGTGAATGCGTCTCTTTGTCCACAATGGATGATATACGATTTGCCCTATCAAATTTCATCAAGTATATATGAAAATTGAAAGTCCACTATTGTTCCAAGAAAAACAATATTAATTCGCAAAACCTACAATCGTATACACTAATATAATAGTAAGTTCCATTCCTTTAGACCTCTTTCACAAGAGTCTCTTTCATGGTCAGTGTAAACCACAGCGTCCATAACCATATATATAAGATAGAAGGCTAATTATGATAGATGTCATGGATTCATTCAAATATCAAAGAACTAGAGTAGAATGAAGGCTAAAATCTTGAAGAATATAGGGTTAGAGAGGAAGGGAGAAACAGAGAAGTGAAGAACTCTGTAATTTCATTCAATATGATAAAGATATCATCTCTTCCAACAGAAGCTAGAATGCCTTTACATACATTGCCATATGACAACAAAGAAACATTAATTTAACTAATCTTGACACCTGTCCTAACCAATTAGTCTACATGAGCATCAAAATAATGCTGGTGTGGTGTAATACTAGCAACTAAATTAAACAAATGCTGAGAAAGCCCAACTAAAATTTCTCAGATAAAATGTGTCATCTCTGTCCACAACAGATAACATACAATCTGCTCTATCGAATTTCATCAGTATATCTTTAAAAAATTGAATTTTTATATTAAAATGCAAAATCCACAATTAGAGAAGAGATGAGATAGCAACTCACAAACTGAAAAATGGGAAAATTCTCACAGAAAAAGGTGATGCGCTTCAAGTCCAAAGCAAGAGCAGCGTTAAGTCCTTCAATCAAGGCTTTCAACTGGGCACCATTCTTGCTCATCCCATTCCCAATCAGGGGTTTCCAAACCTCGAACACCAAATTATCCCTGGAGTCGCATAGCGCAACCCCAACCCCAGCCAGCACCACTCTCTCATTTCCAACCATTTCCTCACTCACCAAACCCTTGAAGTAGAGCCTGAACACGCTCTCACTCTCGACCCTCTTCGTCGACGACGACGAGGAGCCTTCGCCGAAGGGTTTGGCGAAGAGTTCGCCGGAATCTTGCCACTCGTCCTCTGGAATCTTCTTGATCTCTCTCGCGACCCGATCATCGTGAATCCGACGGTTGAGATCCTCTCTGGCTTTCCGCATTTCGATTTCGCGGTCTTTCAATTCCTGCTCCGTTCTTATGAGTTCTTGGGACTTGAGGGAAACGTGGGTTGGGGTGTTGGGGATGGTCGGAACGGGGTCGTTTCGGGAGGGTTGGGTGGAGGAGGAAGAGGGTTGGAGAGCGAGAGAGGCGGCGAGGGCTTCTTGGAGTTGGATGTTAAAGGCGAGATCCATGTCGGACTCTAGGGATTCGGCTTCCATGAGCTCGCGACGTTGCTCGGAGACGGCGAATAAAACGTCGTCGCCGTCGTCATCGGGTGACACGCTGCTGGCCATATAGGACTGAGAGAGCGAGAAATAAATGAAGTGTGCGTTGTCTCGCGGGAGGTTTGGATTTTGGGGAGATTTTATATATATATATATATTGGTTTTTTATTTTTTCGTCAAAAGACATACTTTCCTTTATATAATGAGTACTCACTGAAATAAATTCTTTGTAAAAATGAAGAAAAAAGAAAAGCACAACCCTTTCCCGACATAGCATAGCATTGTTAAATGCAATTAGAAAGGAAATCTAATTCGAAACTCATCGAAACAAAGTTTTTGTCGACTGGATCATCATCCACGCACTTGAGAGCTTCTCACTGACTCACTGAGATGCTGAAGATGATGATGCGGGATATAGCTGCTTCTTCTTCTTCTTATTGCACCAGCAGGAGATGGAGAGGTATGCCTTGTCTTCACTCTAACTCCACTCTTGTTGTTTTCGCCAACGATTACTTTGCTTTCCTTCACTCTCAACCTTCTAAACCAATCAAATCTACAAGAACCCAACTAGAGCAGCCAGTGAGAAACTCACCCGAAATCACAACTGTTGAGGATGCTTTCAATGTGTTTGATAGAATGCTCCAAATGCGTCCTCGGCCTTCAGTTGTTCGTTTCACTCAAATATTGGGTCAAGCTGCGAAATTGAAACATTATTCGGCCGTCATCTCCTTGTATAACCAAATGGGTGTGTCGGGAATTGGACCTAATGTTTATACTCTAAACATTCTCATAAATTGTTATTGTCATCTAAACCAAATGGGGTTTAGTTTATCTGTATTGGTAAATAAATTCTTCAAACTTGGTCTTGAACCTGATGTCTTTACCTTCACCACTCTAATAAATGGCTTTCTTCTCGAGAATAAAGTGGCGGAGGCGGCAGGAATTTTCAACAAAATGATTGCGGGAGGTAATTGTCAGCCTGATGTGGTTACTTATGGCACACTAGTAAAGGGCTTTTGCATGAAAGGTAACAACAGTGCTGCTATTCAGTTGCTTAGGAAGATGGAGGAAGGAGCTTGCAAGCCTGACCTAGTTGTCTATAGCACAATCATCGACAGTCTTTGTAAGGATACACTAGTTGACGATGCGTTAAACCTCTTCTCAGAAATGATGAACAAGGGTATTGCCCCAGATGTCATTACCTATACATCCTTGATTCATGGAGTTTGCAAATTAGGCGAGTGGAAAGAAGCTACAAGGTTGTTGAATGAAATGGCGAGTAAAAATATATTTCCAGATGTGTTCACGTTCAGCGTCTTAGTAGACACAATTTGTAAGGAGGGAATGGTCGTGGAAGCAGAAGGCGTGGTTGAGATGATGATTCAAAGAGATATTGATCCTGATTCGGTTACATACAATTCACTAATGGATGGTTACTGTTTGCGAGGAAGAATGGACAAAGCGAAAAAGGTTTTTGAACTAATGCTTAGCAAGGGCTCGATGGTTAATGTTGTTAGTTACAGCACATTGATAAATGGATATTGTAAGCATAAAAAGATTGATGAGGCCATGATGCTTTTTCTGGATATGTCTCATAAGGGGCTAGTTGCAGATACCGTTACTTATACCACTCTTATGGACGGTTTTTGCAAAGTGGGTAGAATAGATGATGCACAAAAGTTGTTCTCTAAGATGCAAGCTTGTGGCCAGCTTCCAGATGCTCAAACTTATTCTATTTTACTTGATGGCCTGTGTAAAAACCGACAACTTTCTAGGGCAATGCAATTGTTTGGAGAGATGGAAGCTAAGAAGTTGGATATTAATATTGTGATTTACAACAGACATCAAGGGCAATGGTACTTATTCAAACAATGGTAGAGAAGGGTTTTTCTGCAGATGCATCAACAATGGAGTTGATAGTTAATTTACTGTCGAAAGATGAAGTAGATCCTGCTTTGTCGGCGTTGATAAAAAAATCACTGTGAAATTAATATGCATTTGTGGACAATAAAATTTGGAACTGCTGCACCTTCAACGACCATAAAGGTATTACAGTGGTTGTGCATATGGCAGGAGGTGAAAATGCCTTCTCACTTGCATCCTTAATTTCTGGTATTAATTCTGTTTAATGGAATATCTAGCACTCTTTTGGACTTTTCCCTTTATCTATGATGATTTATTTACTTTGTATTCCTATCACTTGGCATCTTGCAGTATATAGAAGGCCAAATATATAAATTTAGGTGTGCCTTCTCACGACTCTCCTAGCTTGAAAATGTTTCTACAGATAATGTGTCTACTTGTTCGGGTGTCAGAAACTTTGACAAAACATAGACCATTATATGTCAAAATTCAAATGCGTCTAGTTATCTACGGAGGATTTTTAAAATCAAAGGTTGATTTGTCTCTCTTCCCACATAATGTATAATATATATACTAATGGCTTCTAGTTTGAGGATGAAATAATGAGCCTAAACTTTGGCAATTCATTGATGTTCTGGAGAGGAGTGTGTTATATTGGGATAGCGACTGATAATGGTATATATACTGTTGTTCCTTGATTGAACTTATGTTGCGTACCAATCTTTATGTCAACTAAACTAATTTTCCAAGTTAAAACTCTTTTGTTTCTTGTCTGGTTTATATATATACCAGTCAAACTGTTTAGATGTTTTGCTTGGTTAGAAGTTGGAACTGGTTAGCCTTGATGGAAAATACTTGCCCCGATGCCAGGATTGGGATTGGAAGGGAAGGGAGAGTTTTTACAGAGTGATTTTTGAAGGTAGTGTACTATATTTCCTATCAAAAAGAAAAAGAAATGCTTTAATTTGCAGCTAGTTTATGCTTTCTGTTCATATTTCCACCAATACACTAAGTAAAACTCGTGTGTGTTTGTAAACGCGTCAGATTACGGATTCTGATTATGTAAACATGTCATTGTCTTAGTACTCATGTGCTCCATCGAATGGACATAGAAATATAGGAATAAATAGTCCTATACGATGTCCTGGGCATTGGCATTGGTGGATGATTCATGTTTGGGAATGGAATTAGAATTGAATTTGACCTTTTTTTGGGTTTTTTGTTTTTATGAGGAAAAAAAAAAAAAAAACTAATAGAACTTAGATCCACGAGAGCACGCAGGCCCAAAGAAGTTCAAGTAAAAAGAGTTCACAACCGAAAGAGGTACCTATAAAATAAGTTACCAATATTGTACATAAGAAAAATAAACACTGAAGTTACCACTGGGAAAGTTACAATGGGCACAACACTAACTTAGGTCACTTTTATTTACTTTTCTTAGATACACTATTATAATACCAATAGGAAAGCCCACTGGGTTAGAAGCTCCCTAACACTTGGTCCGCTTTTGTGTATTTTTGTTATTTTCTTTTGGGCCTTCAATTTTATTACCAATTTGTCTTCTTTTGGATCATCTTAGGAAAAATTAACTCTGTCCTTAGTTTAAATAAAAATGGGCTTAGCTGGGGTTCTCGCATGCTAATGACACGTGTAGAACTTCGCCTCTGAATGCAGACAACAATTTCATAGGTACTATGCTATAAGCATTCAAGAAAATTTCAATTTTGTTTTGTATGTACTTAGCTGGCTTTTTCCTTCTTTAAAACGTTTCCCATTTGATGTGTTTGATCGTGGAAAGTTTAGGTCTTTCATTTCATAAAAATAACCTGATTTTTTTTATTATTATTTTCTTTTTTGCGTGTGAAATTGAATCGACGGTACTATTCAGGTCAAGTTAGTTGGGTTTAACGGAAATTTAATTTGTCCGCCCCTAACCCTAGATGTAAGGGACAACACTTCATTCAACGAGGGAAAATAAGTCATGGAAGAGTCCAAAGGGTCAAGTTCAATTTTCATGTCCAAATGTGTTAGTTTTCTCCCTTAAATTACCTAACAAATGACAATGTCTTATACACATGGCAGTTTTGCTTGGACTGGTTGACTACTTTGAACTTTCTCATACCATTAGGTATTATGGTAGAAATCAATTGCGATTTGTCTAAACATTTGCTAATTAAATTGGTTTTCCTCATCACTCTAGAAGAAAAGAAACAAAAAAATAATATTTTTCATAGGGAAATTAAACCAAAACAAAAAAACACTGAAAAATACTTTGACTAGGGTTTTATATTTGTCGTCGTCTACAAATATTTATAATTGTTCCTGATTTACATGGTTCGAAATCAAATCACAAAGTTTATTACGTGGGGAAGTTGATCTCTAGCAAAGTGTTACAATTTTTTTGGGTCATATTCTGTGAAGCTTATCCCTTAGCAAAATGTGTAGTGTGTTGAATATTTAATTTATAATATAATTTCAAAAGCATGAGTGAAAATCGTGGTTTGAAAAATCAATTATTTATATTCAAGATTCCCTGCAAACTTTGAAGTTTTCCTTTCAAATGCTAAACGACTCTTGAAAATGGCGATGTGTTTCAAAACAGTTGAGTTGATAGCACCATTGCCATAGCTTGGTTATCCTAATTTCACCATCTCATGAAAAAGAAAGCTTATGTGCTCACTGGATAAGATTTAATCACATTATCGATGATTTAAATACCTCGGAAATCAAATCACAAAGTTTTCTTTGATTGAACAAGCAAATGGAAAATTCTGTTTGCATCTTTTGGCTCATCTTACACCTCTTCTTAAAGCTTAACCAGAACTTTGAAAAAAAAAAAAAAAAAGTATATGCGATAGAAAATGCGAAAACGGGTGTGATGAGGAAAACAATATTGCAAAGGAAATCATTTTTTTCCTTAAATTGGGGGGTGGGGGGGGTGGGGTGTTGAACTTAAATATCTTTCAATATTGAAAAAAGAAATACCACTAAATCAAAAGTTAGTTTGTATATAAAATTATCGAAGTATCACTCCTCACTTAGGGACTAATCTTGAAGACTTTTGCTCATAAAAAGGGGTAAAAACATATCAAATGTGTAACACACCATTAACTACATATATGATAGTTTTTCTAAAAATAAATAGAAGTAGGTGTATGTAATCTAAAGGCTATAAGACTTTGTACCATGCAACTTTTGGGAATGTCTCGTGGAATGACGGCCAAAGGCACACGAGATGTACGGTGTTGCCAATTAACATGATGCGCAATAATGTCGGGCCTATCTCCACTTTTATCACATAGTACTTTTTGTAAGCGATGCTAAAGGGCAGTCTCCTTTCTATGGGTTCTCGTGAAATTTTCAGTCGATAATGCAAGTGAGTCTCATAATTCATTAATTTGCGACAACCAACCATTCACATGCCACATGAGAACAAAACATTTATGTTTGGTATGAACGCTCTATGATCACCACCATAACTTCTGAAGTGAGAAAAGAAGCTCAAAAGCCTCAATGACTGCAAAACTCAGCTAGTGGGCTTGGCTACATGCACACATACACATCAAAGCAGCAGAAAGGAATTGAATGAGATCAAACCTCAAAAAGCAAGAGAGAACGAGAATCAAAAGGAGCGACTCTTCTGGTCTTTTTCCCATTGATTTCTATATACATATATGCGGATTCAACAAAGCAAATGTTAATGTCATAGTTCCCATTGCAACATTCCCCTCAGTAGCAGTTGTTTAGGTAATGCAAATTCAAACAATATGGATAAGACTTGTTTCAAATTTTTGACTCTCTAAGTCTCCTTTTTAGTTGTGGGTTTGTCGATCTTCGCCTTTTGTTAATTTAATGCAATAAATCTGGCTTCAGTTTATCGAGGTATTGGATCATTCTTTTCGTTCAGTCTCCTACTCTGTCCCATCTTACATTTGACATTGTTTGTGTGACAAAAGTTGGTGCAATGTGACCTTTTAAAATAGGTTTTCGTACACCTAATACCACTATATGGGCAATGGGAAATGATGTAGATTGATCTAAACCCACAGTAATGTACAGCGATAAAGATTCTTTCTATGATTATAAGATGGTGCCATACAAATATAAAATTTAATAATTTCTTACCAATAAAATATTGATGATGAGCTATAACTAGAACTATTGCTCATACCTATTTATAGATCTCTTAGCATGCACTCAAACAGTATAATGTTGGTAGGGCGGATCCATTCCCACTCCCCACATTACTCAGCATACCACACACCTATTATCTATACTAGCCCCTTCGTATTCGATCACGCGTGTACTAATTGGTTTTTTAAATTTTATTTTAGAATTTAAAAAGAAATTAGGTAGTTATGTTCTATGAAAATAAGACCCATTATTTTTTTTTAATTCTCTACAAAAAAATTAAAATTAAAAACAATATGGTATGAGACAATCCTTTAGATATAGTGTCACACTCACCTAGAAAGTTAATCAGTGATTGATTTATGAAAATAACATATAATGCTCAATTTTTTTTTGGAGGTACAACAGTTTTAATTGACCATATTCTCATCTCACCCATTGAATTTCCATAATCAAATGATAACATTAACTTTAAAATATTGGTGAACATTTTTAAGTTCCATATAATCATTTCCTTCATCATATATTCACCATATAGTGACATGTGCATGTGTAATTAATTCAAAACTTTTTCTGGTGGATCAAACTTTTTTTTATTGAATAATTGATGGTAATTATTAATGAAAAACAAAAATACAAAGCAAACTATATGGTGCCGAATATAGGTAAATATTATATAGTGATGAAACGCAACAAATTGAATTGATCTAGAGAGAATCACGCACAATAACACCGATTTAATCAAATATCATACGAAGCAATTAAAAACTTAGTGAGAAATACAAATGACCAATATGTTGAATAATTATGAATCGCCAACAAGGAATACATGTTTAACCAGTCAACTTATGATCAACCTCTCTCTAAAGCCATCATCTTTCCTACACACTATAGCATGTTAGGTTGGATAAAGTTCACCACGTACAAAAATGACTATAAACCAGTACACAAGAATTCTTGTCATGAGAGTGAAAAATATAATTTAAAGGATCATATCATTGACTTGTGGAACTCATTTTTTTTTCTTTATTTATAAATTTTTTTTATATATATTGCAATAGGTTTGCTTAATTTTATAGCCTCTGTAGAGGTACAATTGGGTCAAAAAAACAGACTTTGTTCCCGTTCAAGCATAGAAAATTATGGCATGTTGG